TTAGTGTTGAAATTTATCTTTAACAAATTGTTAATATTTTATTTTTAGTTTTAATTTTCAGTAGTTATAAAATTTACAAACACCAAAATTAAAATTTAAAAACTACAACCATTCTCTTTAAAAAAAAAAAAATAAATAACCCACAATTATAACATATTGAACATAAATTAAACCCTAACAAAAGCTTCGAAGGCAAGGCCATAAGATAAAAACATATGTTCTTTTTTTTTTTTTTCGGTCATAGATTAAAACACCATGTATTGGTTGACCTCAAAACAACTAGTATAAGCTTAAAAGACCCTTTGTACAATGACCCATATGATATACAACCCATTAAGTTTGTTCTCCATGTCAGAAGTCAGCATCAACGCATCCCTCCCAATCTCTCTGGCAAAGTCCCAGAGCTTCCACTCACACTTGCAGGTCTAGTCATTGCATTGTTTTGCATTGGAGGAACACGGAGATTTCTGCCATTTGAGAGATATTGCTGGAGGCTAGGTGGCACGCTAGGTGGAGTCGGTACACTAGGTGGAGACGTCAAATTTGTTTGCGGTCTTGTTGCTTGAGCTGATTGAGTAGGCTGAATCATTAGTTGGTTAAGAGCAGAAGAATATGCCCGACCTGAGAGGCTCCCACGCATCCGGCCCACAGGACGCCAACTTTGATCTGACGGCATTTCACCTGTTGGATCAGCACTTGAGATGGATTGTGGTAATCCTCCCATGTTCCCCCTCTGTTCCCCGTCTGGAGCCCTAATCCCATCAGCATTTACAGGATGTGCCCTCATCAGCAGAGCCATTTGAGCAGTTCGATTTGCGGCAGCCAAAGCACTGGAATGTTGGCTATTTCCAGAGCCTGCTGTATGACCAAGTTGGGCACTCCCTTGTTGACTCTGTAACCATGGTCGAGGTGCTGGTGACCGCACCAGGCCTGATGGATGGTTCCTTGATTGAGATAACCTCTGTTGGGCTTGCTGCTGACTTAGAGTCCGTTGCTGCTCAGCTAATAGCCCAGAAGAAACTCTGTGCGTGCCACGGACTTGACCAGATGCTGGAACCCCAACCTGAGGCACTTGGACTGACTGAACAGGAATAAACAAATGGTTTTGCTGATTCCAGTTTTCAGTAGCCAAAAACATAAAGGAAAAACATCAATGGCTGAAGAAAAGTGTAATAGAGAAGTGCACACAAACGCTTAAAGACAGAAAAGCATACCTGTGCAACTGAATGATTTTGGGATGAAGTTGCAGCCATATCACGGGATCTTGAAAACTGTGGCTGCCTGTCTATTTCATTGGAGACTGTGGTGTAACCACTTGCAGATGGTGCAATAGACTGGAAAGATTGAGAAGTGGGAATAAGACCATTTGAACTAGTTCTTGGTCTCTGTTGTGCTCCTGTCTGAGATGGGGCTGGGAGGGCCTGAATTGCAGTTGGAGTGCGGGTTACATGTCTGGGCATTGGCTGCAACCTACCATACTCAGGACTAGAAATTGAGTTCATCAACTGTGACTGTTGTAACTGCATATTAGCAGTTGAAACAGGTATGCCAACAGCAGCTTGGGCATCTGTACTGACACCAGGGATGAGAGCCCCATTACTTAAAAGTCCGGACCAATAATCGTCCTGCATCCAAGGTGCAGCACTTTGATTAACTCCAACTGCATTGTTCAATTCTAACGTTTGAGTTGAATTCGTTGTTGTAGACTGATCTTGAAGAGCAACCAGGGAAGGTTTCCTGTCTTCCAATTCAACAGGGTCCACATCCATCTCATTATCATCCAGAGTAAGATCTAAAATCACATTTGAGGCAATTTCAGATTCTTCTTGCTGAGACCCATCTCTTTGACAATTAAGAATAGTCTCATTTGCATGATCTACGTGGTCATCACTTTCAAATATAGCCTTCCATGATCCATCTGCAGAGATGATCACATCAGAGACATCATCTGCCACATCTTGCAGCACCTAAGGAAAAAAACCATTAATTTAATAGAATGAAGCTAGAAAATATTTTAAGTCAAAGACAACTCTCAGCTACTTGCCTTAACCATGTTTTGATCAATACGAATCTCACTGTAACAGACATGCTGATTGCAGTGTGGGCAACGCCACGATGGTCTTCTTGTATTTATATCAACATAATTATTAAAGTCAAAGCACTACAGGAAAGATAAATGAAAGATTAAGATTGCAGGCATCAGTACCTTCAAAATAGAATCCACTAAACATAGTGAATACAAATGTGTGAACACCATACGAGCACTCACCTGAAGATGCTTACATGCAATCCCTTTCACTGGAGTCTTGATACGTGTTCGGCTGTTTGTGTGTGTGTGTGTGTGTGTGTGTGTGAGAGAGAGAGAGAGAGAGAGGCAGTCAATAAACAGTAAATCAAACATCAGTTCATAGATATATGTAAATATCATGTCACGATCAACTATCACCACTTTCTAAATAAGAAAAACTAAAGTAGATTAAATGTCATGTCACAAATCTATTGATACATGCAGAAGTGCAAGCATGATAACAATTGAAACATCATAATGATGTACGAAACCACCTAAGCTTACTTTTTGGTCTACTCAAACCATCAGAATAGACACATATAGTCAAGTCACATCACAAAGAAGGAAAGAAAGGTTTTAGGTAGACGAAATGCAAAAGTTTTAATTATTTAAAACATTAAATCAAAATAAAAAATGTGAAAACAAAAATGACATTAGAAGATGTGTTTGAGGCAGAGGAGTCTGTTGAATTATGCCAGACCAAAATGCTAAATTTTCCAATGAATTAAGGCTTTGTTTCACAATACTTCACATAAACCTTTTTCACACAGCACCATATCTAGAAATGTGAATTTATTAATTTTAATTATTTTTTTATATATTTTTATACTAGTTTCAATTAATATTTTATATATTTTTAGATGGTAAAAGACCCGGCCCAAAAAAAAAAAAAAAAAATCCTAAACTACAGCACAACACTCTCAAACAAATCCTAAATTCAACAAACTAAATAGCTTTATAAACATGAGACTCAATAGTATAGGATAATCCATCTACATTGGAAGGTAAAAAGAAGCCAAGTTGCATGGAAAAGTGCCATGGCTTACCTTATAGGACAACTAAGTGATATCCGTGATGGGCCCTCGATTAAGTCAGAATCTTACATAAAAAGAAAAGTAGAAAAACTTAGAATGAGTTCAAAACCAATTTAAAAAGAAAAAAAAATTGAAGAGATAGGCTAATCAAAAATGAAAATCAGTCAGCATACCTGAATCTGGGGCAAGATTACCAGACTGAACATAATCTGGAAGCACGGGAGCATCAGGTAGCGACACCACACTCATGAAGGCAACAACTATAATGCAATGACCTTTTCAATAATTACAATATCCGTTAGAGCACAATCATGTTATAAATTCCGGGTGCAAGACTTAGAAGATCTGTGTCCATGCATACCATTAAACTGTCCAACAGCTTGAAGAAGATTTGTCCCATACTTCAACATTGCAGTCACATTTGTTGGCATCTGAGGTCCCGTATCCTAATAAAGGAACCAAAGAAAAGAACAATATGGACATCACAATCTGCATCAGGTGTTGTCCTACATGACAGGTTGTGAAAAAATAATTGGAAGAAAACAAACCATTAACACATTAGTTCTCTTTTCAACTCCCTTCCCATTTAAAAGAAAGCTACAAGAAGATGAAAAAAAATGAGAAAGAGTCTAAAATAATCATGCATCAAAGTGAGACCATGAAAAGCAAAGAAAATCATACTTCACTTGCTGTGGACTTATAATACAAGCCGATGTCTCCATATTATCTGTTTGTGCTACAAATAACCGCTGCATGCAGAGCAAAAGAAAGAAATACAAAGTGAGATATCAGGCAATTTTGATGCAAATATTTTCATTTTGAGAAAAAAAGAAAGCGCATAGACATTAGACAGTACCCTCAATAACTAAATGGTTTTCAAATAAGTGCTTTCAATATTGTCACAATAATGACATGGTTCCTTGTGTTTACTTTTGTCCCAAAGAAAAAGAGTTATATGTTTTTGTTCCCCAGCTAACCACTAATCCTGCCCAATTGATGGCCAAAAACAAAAACGTGCTCAATTGGTTCATAACTATAGTAAATTCCTGATTCTGTCCAATTAATGAAAACCAAGTTTGATAGTCAAACAAAAGAAAGAAACCATAAATCAACTATAATAATCAGCAAATACAGAGGAAGCTCATGATGGCTTGACTGGAGACAGTGATACTCGTACAGGAAATCTATTTAAACTGAAAAATGAGAATGCTTACTATTTTTTCTTCAGGAGAATGTACTGTATTCTTCGATATATTAAAATCAATCATTAATGCTGCATATCCAGGCTACATCACAAGGAAGAACAGATATAAATAGATGTACAAATGAAAAGACAAACAGATTTAAATTTTGGTAAGAAAAACCACCTTAGCTTCCATAGAAGCCAGTATGTTCCCCATCCTCATGAATGGATAGAACCTACATCAGAGATGGAGAGAATTAAAATTGATCATAGTTCATCATTGTGAAGTATAATGACATTCTAAATTGTGGAAAAGAGTACACAGTACACACTTATGACTCGAAATTTTTAAGAGATTTAGAAATGTGGACACTATTTATTCTTCCATTTGATAAAGGTCAATAACAATAACAAGAAGAAGCAACATCAATAGATTCCAAAAATGCTGTTGGACCTGAAAAGCTTATGTTAAACAGAAGAGTGGGGGAAAAAACAAGCAATTCAATATACACAGAACAAAATGTCAGCATCAACTTAATCTTAATATCAGAATTCAATTTTATGGAGGTGTCACAGGCACCATAATGGCCAACAAAAGACTGTGCGTAGACATTTTGGCACTCTCACTAAAACTAGAAATTAATATAGCTTCTCTCTAAGGCCTTAGAAGCAAACAAATCTAACCACAGAGATAACTTAAAAATGGTATATTTAATTATAACAAATAAATTTAAGCAGAGTAGAAATGCATACCTAGACATAATTTCTGAAACATTTGCCTGCAAATTGCTAGGTCCAATGTTAATACCTCCTGGGCTGCAAAAGCAACTTCCTACCTAGAAATACAGAAACATCCTTATTAACAACATATAAAACTAGTATAAGAGATTTAGATATGCATCTACTGTTTTTAAGGAGTCAGCTTAGATATGCACCTCATTGGCAAGTTTAAGAAGCTCATTAGTCTCTTTATCCGAAAACCAACCCACTTTGCAAGCATTCTACCATGTAAACAGCAGTGTCAGAAAGAGGTTCAACACAAAGGCATGCATAAGGTCTAAAACGTCAAATCATGAACAGAAGACACTGTGACACATGGATGAACTGCATCTTAAAGTAAACCTAAATTCTGAAAGAAACCATACATCTAACAAGAGAACTCCTATTCCAGATTAATTGCAAATCAAAGATTCAAGATAATATTATAAGCTTTTTTGGGAGAAAAGGAAGGGCAGTAGACAAACAAACCTATCACAATTTTTAGTAGATAGAATGTCAATAGAACTATAGAAGGATACTCAATGAACTAAATCCGAACTCACACTCCAATTATGTGCAAAGTGCCAGCAAAGATGCAGGACATATTCAACAAAATTTTAAAGAGTTAAATGATCTCATATCCTGAAGCAAGGATTCATTATTAGGAAATATCAAGCACCTTGACTGAGAGCATCAGCACCATAATTGCAGCTTGCAGAAGTGAGTCACTCTTAGGTTGGCATATCTACACAGCACAAAAGAGTACACGTTATTCATAGAAGAAAAATATAAGTTAAATCCTCCCATACAATTGCAAACTGAAGAAACAGCAGACAGGCTATTTTAATCAATTTGCCTAATAATCTCAGATTGACATAAACAGCAGACAGACTATCAACCCCTCAACCACTCAAGGAAAAGAAGCCCCAGTTTGCATGATACTTCAATATCTCAAACACCATACTCATCTCCCCATAGAATACAAGGTCTGTATGTGGAAAACAAAATTAGGCTTCTTAAAAATCCACATTACAAATCTAGTCAGAACTCTGCCATACCAACCTTTTTTAAACACCAGTACCAGCAGAATACCATGTCAAAGCCAAGTTCCAAGAAATGCTAAGTGCAACAACAATAAACATATTACATCCCACCCATGATCCTAATGAGTATCACGTTAAAAATTAAAAGTTTCAGGAAGCATAATAGAACCATACCTGTTTGAACAATAGAGGCAAGTCTTCAGCTTTTTCAGGAATGTCATTATTTGCTACGGCATAATCAATACCTCTGTATATTTCAAAGGGAATCTAGTTAAATACAAAATATCTACACAACTAATTAATAATATATAGTAGTGCATAAAATCTTATAATATTCATTCCTCTTCAATTAGCAACCCTGGTGAATACCAACAAGCATAAACCTCCACAAATTTAGTCAATGAGTAGAAACAACTAATTCGCAATCCTTTTCCATAACACTTGTGTACAGCCACACTCCTCTAACCTGCAAATCAGAAGAACTAGAACCCTAAACCCATTTCATCCGCTCAACGCTCCAAACCAAAACCTAAGAAACCAAAAACTCCAAAACCTGGTACGCAATTCGCGAACAAAAGAAGTATTGCCGTACACGCACACAACATGTAGAATCATTTAGACTTTTAAAGTAGATACCTTGCTAGGGAGACGAAGAGCTTGAAGAGCTGATAGGAATCGGCCTGGCATCCCCCCTGAGGCTGCATTAGAGATGTCAAAAGCCGCGCCAGGTTCACTAGACGTGTGGAGTTCTGCTGCAACACCGTCTGTTGTCCTTGTCCCACCCCAAATCCCGCCGGCGAGGCCGCCGCCGCCAGCGGCGGCTGAGGAATCGCCGTCATCCCGTCCAAAATTATATATTTAAACTTTTACAGTTTTGTACCAACTTCGAATGCCCAAAAACGAATTTTTTTTCACAGGGGTTTATTTGGTATTCTATTTTGTATTTTATG